AACAAGGGAGCTAACTCGCTCCATGAATGGGAACCAAGTTATGTCCCTTGATCAGAACTCTCTAGGACAACAGAGAAGAAAAGCGTATTTAAAGATGACGGTCTCGCATCCTTACATCTCACGTATCGAACTATCAATCTACCTGTAATTACTGATCATGTTTTTTGTCTATGGTTATCCAATGGAAAATAAAACGTATAACGGTTCACACTATGTGTTCAGTCTTTTTTGACATTTATAAGCATAACCCTACACACACAAACACACATACACAAGCGCACACACACATTTTATTAAATAATGCATCTTAATTAATATTGTAGTCATTCAAAGAATAAATCAATAAAGTAATTAATGGCGAACTCAGTTCGCTAACTTATTAAGGAGGTAGTGACCAGTCGCTGAACGACAAGATCCTTGTTTTTATTAGTTGTACAATGTATTAGATCTTCGCTCCATATTGTTTTTGACAAGTATCACATGAATTTTCGTTTTGTAATTTTACCCGAAATTACCTGAAATTGAGATAAAAAATAACATCTATGCCTGAGGATGATAAAAGTTTTTACCGAAAGTACTTGCAAGCAATATGGACCGGACGTCTAATCCATTGTACAGTTAATAAAAACAAGGATCATGTCGTTTGGCAGTGGTCAGTAAGTTAATGCCATTTTAATCTTTTAGCGAAGTGAGTTCGCCATTAATTACACTAACTTTATTGATTTATTCTTTGAATTACTTGACAACATATATATATATATATATATATATATATATATATATATATATATATATATATATATATATATATATATATATATATATATATATATATATAATTGATTTATTTAAAATATGTTTTTTTCGCTACACAGTTCTAACCATGTTTCAAAAATGGAAGCTAAAAGCTACGAATTTAATTTTGTAATTAAATTAAAGACATTAGTTCCATTTCATCATTAGTTCCATTTCATCCTCAAGCGAATTAATGCTCTGTAAATTTACATTGAGCACTATTTTGTAAAAATAAAAATATCTATAACATTGGATTATATATCTTACTGTTCTTTCTTTTTATTTATATATACACACACACATATATATATATATATATATATATATATATACTCGTCGAAATTGTACTTTTCCATCGAAATATATATATATATATATATATATATATATATATATATATATATATATATATATATATATATACTCGAAATTGTACTTTTCCATCGATATATATATATATATATATATATATATATATATATATTATTGCTCTGTATTTTGATACATTGAGCTCACTTCATGCATCTATCTTTCTGATATTTTATATTAAAAGATTTGGATTATCCTTGCCATTGACGGATTTGATATATATATATATATAGGGATATATATATATATATATATATATATATATATATATATATATATATATATATATATATAGATAGATAGATAGATAGATCGATAGATAGATAGATAGATAACTAGACTCGTTTTGAAAAACCCCTCGAATTTTTGATTTGCTAATCAAACCAATCTCGAGGGAAAAAAGGTTTTAAAAAAAGAAAACATGAACTTCTGCCGACAAAAAAATCTCACAGATGCAGGTCTGAAGCCCAAAGAAAAAAACCCCGATACGAGTAACAACTAACTAACAAAAGAGCTCAATACAACCGTAGAGCAGACCTAGATATACCTAGTGAGCCAGACAAACCTTACCTAGGTTTCAACTAAACTTTCCCCTGACGATCCGTTTAGGTGAAACCTAGGTAGGTTTGTCTGGCTCACTAGGTGTATCTATATATATATATATATATATATATATATATATATATATATATATATATAATTATTTATTCGAAAATTATAACATAAAAAAATGTTATAAAACCACTACAAAAATAAGCATTTTGTTTCAACACTTCTAGAGTCTTATCAAGTGATGGTGTTGAACGTAGAATAAAGGGTTTTAAAAAGTTCAAATCAACACGTCGTAAAGGAAACGCTGTTACATAAGCTGGAATGACTAATCAAAATACAAGTATACGAGAATCAAAAAACTTGACAAAGAACTAAGGTTATAATAATTATTTAATGCTTTAATGTTGGGGTTACACCAAAATAGAATTCATTCTAACTAATAAATATTAAATTATACTATAAAATTCAAAATCAAATATCAATTTTAAATTTCAAATTTAATCTGTATTAAATTTAAAATTATAGCAATCCGTATTTTATACAAGTTTCATTAAAACCAAATGAATGATAACTCGGAAAAGTTTTTTTTATTTTTCTTATACTTTTTTTTCTTTTCTGGACATAAATTATATAGAAATGTTATAAATGTTCACCATGTTTGAGTGTTTTGGGATATTCTTTCAGCAATTATCAAGGATGATTTTATTTTTACTTTTAACTAAGTGCATGGATTTCGCTATGTATGTATGTAGTGTTTGTTTATATTTCTGAGATGAGGTATTGTAATTATCTATATTGTTCGCATGTCGTCCTCATCTTTATTGACATATTCACGACGTTTCTGTTGTTGTACGCTCTGGCCTTCATCGGGTAATTGAAATTTCGAACGGAACCCCCTTTATTTCGTCCACCAAAGTTTACAGTTTGAAAGTCCAATCATCTAGAGAAGGCCGGAGCCTATAACCGCCGAAACCTCGTGAATATGGCAATAAAGATTAGGTCGACAGTCCGAGCAATGTAAATAATATATCTGGATTGATAGGAATGTTTTTATTTTTCAAACATGGTCGGCACTCATAGTTGATGTTATTGATAGCTGAATTTTTCTTTCTTTTTTTTTTTTTTTTATAAATAATGGTTTCATTATTTTTTAACCTTTTTTAGATGTGGATGAATATATATATATATATATATATATATATATAGAGAGAGAGAGGGGGGTGTCCATAAAGTTAGTGTGCACTTTAAAAAATTACAACGTTATTTGTATTTGCGATAGAAATAATCTGTAAAAAAATGTTATAAAGTTTAATGTACCTAGTTTTATGTGTAGCTAAAATAACTAATGTGATTTCAGGCATTACTGTAAATCAGTTGGCAAATGTTTTCCGTGAACTGAAAAATCGTATTACCCTTTATATTGCTAATGATGGACGACGTGTGGAAACTTAAATAAAATTTCAATAAAACCTTAAAAAATATAGATTAACTTCTTTCGAATCCTTTTTACAAATTATTTCTATCGCAAATACAAATAAAGTTATAAATTTTTTAAAGTGCACACGAACTTTATGGACACCCTGTATATATATATATATATATATATATATATATATATATATATATATATATATATATATATATAAAAGAAATATAGTCTTAAGGTGTGCTATATTTATGGGATAAAGTGGTCAATATCAGAGATAGAGCGTGTGTAAATATAAAAGTGAACATTGAAGTCAACACTTCGGGGCGACAGTCTCTTTCATGCTAGACGCAATCGTCAGGCTATATATATATATACATTGGAATACTGATTTCTGGTAATGGCCAAGTAATCCACCTCCCCCAAAACAATGCCGACGTTCCACTATGGTACATTTTTTTAGCAGTTATGTCCAGGACCCAACAGCTATTCAAGTTTGAGTGTTACAGAGCAAGAGGTAAGGTTTGTGTGCACCTGTGGGTTAATCCTAGACTTGAACAGGTTATGGCTGTCGTCGATTCCACAAAGCAAAGGCCCAGAGGAAAAGGCTGCTTGAGTGTAACTTACATCTCACCAATGTAATACAAAGGGAATGAGGGTGGTTCTCTACAATGGGGGTGGCATGGGTGAGCACTTTCCATGGAAATAGCGAGAGGCAATAATTGACAATATAATCCGAACACTCTCTTAATTTTAGCCACAGAAAGCATATCCTTTTAAATCGATCAGCAAGAAATTAAATTAATGAAAACGATTTTATCTTGTTTTTTATGATTTTATTATAGATTAAAATTCAACATGTGTAAAAGAAAAAAATTAAAATTTAAAAAATAAGATATTTTCCATTGAGATTAATATATTGATTTTTTTTTTCAAAATCACATCTCAAGAGAAAGACCTTGCTCCGTCATAACTTGCACTTCCGGTATCGCTAAATTACCGCCATGTTCACTACCAATTTGTGTTGCTACGACTCTTCAGATATCCGGAAATCTTGGGATGTGCAGCAACGCGTTTTCTGAGGGCCATCATTTTCGGATAATTGCTGAACATGGACTGGTTCTCCATGAACGGATTCTCCAAGCAACAGTAGCACATCATGTCACACCAGTGCATCTGGAAAAAGAAAGAAAAAAGATATATATATATATTTTTATAAAACGAAACAATCATCATATAGCTCTATTTTATTTTTACAATAATGTCAACCTGGGCAAGGCCTAAGAGCCACTGGAGGCAGAGACTTGCAGGTTAAGGTGTATAGTTAATGGGGATTTATGTGGAAGAAAACGGTTAATTCTGAACTTGAACAGGCCAAGATTGTAGAGATCGGGGAAACATCCTCTTTGGAGTCAGTTTCACAAAGTGGGGTCTCATGAGATTCTGCAGCTCAAGTTGAACTTACCTCTCACCAACGAAATATGAATGCGAAAGAAATCATCGCGGTTCGCTGCAATGTGCGTGAAATGGTGGGTCTAGCCGTGAATATTAGAACTGGTGGAACTAAGGAATGTATTTCGTCTAACCACTTTCCATGGAACTAGCAATAGAGCAGTAAGAGGCTACCCACATTCCGCTGGTGAGAGAGAGGTTGGAGGCTGGAAATAATTTGTTACCCACAAGGACTATCGAGACAGTGGGTCTAAGTCACGAAGGTTAGAACTGGTAGAACCAAGGAATATAGTTCGTCTGAACACTTTCCATGGAAATAGTGATGAAGCTGTGTGTGTTTTATTCGTTACGTCTGTGGAGAGGGGGTTGATAGGTGGAAATTACGTGGAGAAGTTTTTTGACTCAATTAAAACAGACAGACAGACAGATAGATAGATAGATAGATAGATAGATAGATAGATATGAACAGGCTCATATATATATATATATATATATATATATATATATTGATAGATATGAACAGACTGAGATAGATAGATGGATAAATAGATAGATAGACATGAACAGACTGAGATAGATAGATAGACAGACAGACATGAACAGAGTGAGATAGATAGATAGATAGATAGATAGATAGATAGATATATATATATAGATAGATAGATAGATAGATAGACAAAGAGGCAGACATGAAGACTGAGATAGATAGATAGATAGATAGATAGACAGACAGACAGACAGACAGATAGACACACATGAACAGAGTTTTAGATAGGTAGACAGACATGAATAGACATAGATAGATAGATAGATAGATAGATAGATAGATAGATAGATAGATAGATGTTGAGGCACCTACCTGGTCTCCCATGAAGAATTGGTTTCCACTGTTACGCATATCCAGGGTTCTCTCCAAGAAAGGCATGATTCTATTGATGGTGTTCATGTATCTCCATTGAAGGTAATTCTACAGGAAGAAAAAGATATTTACGTTATGAGCACAATTCTTCAATGTTAAAATTTAAAATAGTTTTCATTTTTGAAAAATAAATATATATTATTTTTCATTCATTCTTGTAATTATGATTCCAGCTGAAGTAATATCTTTCTATGGGTTAAGCAGTAAGACAGAATGTGCCCTAAATCCTTGGTTGGCAAACAGGCTACGGCAGAAAAAATGGCAGCCTACTACAGGAAAATCTTCTTCTGTCATTAATCGGAAAAGACAATATCTCATCAGCGTTTGTCACGTACGGAACATTCATGGAAATATATTGTGGGTATTTTTGATGAATAAAACTTACCTCTTTTATTGTATCGATGTATTTCATTTAGAAATTTCCACATATGTTTCTGAAGGGAAAGATTATCAAATATTATCCACACTCTTGTCTAAATGGCGAAGGTGTGGATAATCTTTGACTTACCTTCGTATCATAAGCAAGAATTATAATATATATATATATTTGAACCCGGGTCTCATGGTCAGAAATGCAAACGCTCCAACCACTCGTGCACGTGCCCATGCTCATTATATATATATATATATATATATATATATATATATATATATATATATATAGCAATTGGTAATTTCTTGACTAGTTTCGGCCAACAGGGCCATCATCAGGAGACAAAATTCTGCTTCTTAGTAGCAGTGAACTACAGAAATGTATTACTTTATGAACTTTATCTGTAATTATCATTTGTTTTTTGATTTTTTAACATGAATTTTGATCAGTCCCTGTGTTGGTCAAACAGTCTCTTTTAACTTGTAATTTATGATAACAGGTGGATAACAGCTGGATATATATATATATATATATATATATATATATATATATATATATATATACCTTTCCGTGACGATCCGCTTAGGTGAAACCTGGGTAGGTTTCTCTGGCTCACTAGGTTTATCTAGATCTGCTCTACGGTTGTATTGAGCGCTTTTCTTAGTTATTTACTCGTATCGGTTTTTTTTTTTCTTTGGGCTTTAAACCTGTATCTGTGCGATTTTTTTCGACAGACTTTCATGTTTCTAGATCTTTCTTTTTTAAAACCTTTTTTTTTTTCGAGATTGATTTGACTATTGGCAAATCAAAAATTCAAGCTTTTTCGAAACTAGTATAGTTACCTATATATATATATATATATATATATATATATATGTTTGATAGATGTGAGTTTGTGACCCTGGGTTTCACGCTTTAGCGATCGTCAGACAATCGCTAAAGCGTGGAACCCAGGGTCATAAACTCACATCTATCCAACCAAATATGTTAGCTCTATCTCTGATATTGAGCGCTTTCTAACAAGTACCGCGCATATAATATATAAATAGTTATACATACTTATATTTATATACACTTTTCACATATATATATATATATATATATATATATATATATATATATATATATACGTTCGAAGTGAAACTTAATATTTCCGGGTTTCTACCAATTCATTAGTGCCTTATGAGTCCGTAGAACAACAAAAGTTTAAGCATCCCTCAACACTATCATGTTTACATCTACTCTTATAGTGACTATACATTTATTCACTCTGTTTATGCACATTAACGCACGTATATACGGTTGTTAATATCTAGTTATTTGGTTCATATCTAGATTTATACATACCACACACACACATACACACACACATGTATATATGTGATATAACGATATATTTTTATAATTTTGTATAATTTTATATATCCTGTGGTTAGGGAAGCCTAAACATGTGTTTCATACGACTATCACTGCTACTTAGCATTAGAAATAAAGATCTAGGGGGGTATTTACATTTCTCAGAATAAAATTACCAGAATATGAGGAGGGGTCAGAAATTTAAAAATTTAAAATTGAAGACGTTGGGTTCGCGTAATTGATAAATTGCTACTTTACTGGATGGGGTTAAGAAACACTGAAGGTGAAAATAGAAAAAAAAACGTGTGGAATAGGGGGTGGCCGTTATTAGGGGGACCTTTATTCTAATAAGGTAGGTGTGTATGTGGAGGGGGAATGGAATTAGTCAGGCTTACAATACTTTAAGATATACGATTTTTTATGTTTACATACGCGGATATGAACTAATTAATATATATCTTTGCTCTGTCTAACGATTATTTATTGGCTTGCCTGCGTATGCACACCAGCATATATACAACTATATATATATATTATAAATTAATTGATTTAAAATATGATTTTTCCACGGAGCTTTTCTTGTCATGGAAATTTATGTTGTTAATTATTTCCAGTAGGTCCTTTTTGAAAGCGGACAAACTATGAATAAATGGTTGTAAGCCGAAAGCTTAGATTGTATTAAAAAAATATCGATCAATATCGTGAATTTCTTTCTTCGTTCAACGATAATGTTATTAAACTTATCAGACGTTATGAAAAGAATTTACATAAAATAAATAGACAACACTTGTCTATATTATTTAATGAAACGTGTATGAATGAAAAGATGCTGCCTAAATACACACACACACAATATATATATATATATATATATATATATATATATATATATATATATATATATATATATATATATATATATATAATGAAATGGACAAAGTCCGAGAATCATTTTAAGACATTTTTATGTTTATACATTCTTTTTATAGATACAAATATTTAAGTAAATGCTCTGTTTTATGGAAGATTGAAGTTTCAAAGCTGTAAAATCGACCTTGCTAATCGAACGATCCTCCGTGGCTCGATCGCTTAAGGCACGTCAGGCTAATGATGAACACAAAAGTCGTAAAATTGATAACAATGCTTCGTCTAAGAAATTCGGACAACTTAAGATAATTTCGTCTATTTAAAATGCATTTCTATTTCTGCGATCGTTAAATAACATGTATAGGCAATATGATCTGAATTGTGTGATAGATAGCAACAAAAATAATATGGAAGAAAAAGTATTTAAAAATGAATAACGCAATTTTAATTCATCCCTGGAACCAGTCAAATCTTCAGTTGGTTTGGGTTAATTGAGATGGCAAGACTTCCGGTAAAATTAAGATTATATCTACCGTGATATTAAACTACTATTTTTTTTAAGCATTACGCCCCAAGCAAGGCGTGAAGCCACTAGGATGCAGGGGAGCGAGAGCGGATAGGAGTGATAGAAGAAAGGATGAGGAGTGGGTAGATCAAAGTAACTGGAGGTGTCGATTGACATTACATTTGAATAGTTGGGGATTATAGCTTTCAGTAATTGGGAAGGGTGTTCCACTGGCGAGAGGTGCGAGGTATGAAGCTATTGGAGTAGAAGAGACGGCTACATTTAAAAATTTCTATAGTGTAAGGGTGGGAGCGCGATGCCAGCCTCGTAGGGCGCTTGAATTCATGGAGTCTGGGAACCAGTGAAAGCAGCTCATCGGAGCAATTACCATGAAAGTATTTGTAGAAAAGACAGAGAGAGGCGACGGCGCGTCTGTGAGAGAGTGACTGCAGACGAGACGCCAGATCAAGGCCAATTATATTACATATCCGTCTCTGGATCTTGTCAAGAACTCCGAGGTAAACAGACGGTGCCCCAGACCATATATGGCAGCAATACTCCATGCAAGGGCGAATGGTTGTTTTGTATATTTGAAGTATCGATTCAGGGAGAAAATTTCCTGGCGCGGCACAGAGAGCCTACTTATTGTTTTCATATATATATATATATATATATATATATATATATATATATATATATATATATATATATATAAAAAAATTAATTAACAATAATTGTAAATAAACATTTTAAACAAATGTTTGTTCAGATTAAAATAAATTCAGATTAGATTAAATTTAATTATATAAAAGATGGTATAAGGAAAAATCAAAACTTACGTCGTAATTAGACATTTCGCCAGTATTTCCCATATCAGGAGCCATCATTCCGTCGTTGCCAAACTATAAAAAGAAAATGCAGTTTTCGATTTTAAATGAAGTACACAATCACCCCAAAAGCATACATAACTGCTGTTGACACAGTAAACCGGTATGACACTCACTGACAAGTTAGATGAATGTTTCTTTTGTCTTCTTGAGGGTGAAAATGATTCTTGAAGCCAGTAAGTGAAATGCAATACTTATTATCAAATTGTTAGATGAAGCTCTGCACTGGTGTAACTTAGAAATGATTAACATGTTCATCATTAATTAATCATAACTAAGAATCGGAATTCCATGAAGGATTGCAATTAAATTCATATATATATATATATATATATATATATATATATTATTGTAGGGTCATTTTCCAACTTATTCAAGATGATCTTAGCCTTCTTTAATCTTTCTATACTGGAATAACTGAGAAGTTAGATGAATTTCTTTTGTCTTCCTGAAAATAAAAATGATTCTTGAAGCCAGTAAGTGAAATGCAATGCTTATTGAAGGTGTGACAAACCGAGTTGTTTTGTACAGAGCCTGGCCTGTTTTGTAAAATTTGTTTCGCTTTATCGTGGGTTTTTTTCATGTAACTAGTAAAACTTCAGCAGTTTATGTAGGTCTTCTAACGCAGTTCTCATGTTTATTTACTTCAAGAGTAGTATAGCGTATTAAACTTTTCGACCAGAATATTTAACTCTTATACATTTATACAAATTAACAATAACTGCATGTAAAACATGTTAATCAAATATTTGTTCAGGTGAAAGGAAAATCAGTAAATGAAAGAAGAAAGAAAGACATGCGTAATTGAGGATTGTCATTTTTTTTGCAGAAGACCATAAACTCACTTGGTAGCTTTGTCGTGTTCCGAACAGTATTACTTCCTTCTTTTATATCAGAGCAAACTTTCTTAATTTTTCATACATTTTAATTATCATTGCTGCGTAATCTATGACATCTCAAACGGTCTTTAAGACCTGCAAGAATCTTCCAGTTCTTCCTACATTGCTTCCATGTCAGT